GGAGCCACATCTAGTGATTATGGAAACAGGTGAGAGTCAGTCTACCTTCATGCCCCTGTCTGAAAAAGTAGGGCAGAGGATGTCTCCCCAGGGTAACCAAGGAATGACAGATTGTCCTTGAAAACAATGCTGCTAGATGCCTACTCGCAGGGCTGGGACAGAGTGAGCACTTAATAAGCCTTTATTAAATGAATGAATTAGTAGAATGAACAAATGAATGAGTGAAGGGGAATGGTGAGTAAGAATGGTGGCTCATTTTCTGAGCAGTGAAAGGGGGATCTTCTGCCTGTGTGTTTGTGCCCCACCATGTGGATCACGGCTACAGTTAGAGGTGAACTGTGAGATACTCTGTTAGCCACCATGACGAAAGGTGATCTGAACTGAGAACTGCAGCCAGGCACTCCCATCGCCAGAAATGAGTGCTTTCTTAGACCAGTGTTGCTCATTCCTCCAATTTTATGACCAGGAAAGTGAAAGACAAAGGTTAAGGAGATGGAACTAGATGTTGCCATCTCCAGGCACTGTCTGCACCATGACCCAGAGGAATTCCCTTCCCCAGGCACTGGACTAGACCATCAGATCACAAAGGCAGATGAGGAAAGTACTGTGGTCTGCGACTTCATAGTGGAGAAGGCAAATGTGGACACACCTCAGGCACTGCAGCGTGGTACCTACCCCTTAAGAAGCAACTGTGTATCAGAGAGTGTAGGGGAGGGACAGTGATGCCTGGACTCTTACCTGATCTGCAGACAGACCGGCGTAGTGGCAGGTAGCTGCTGCCACTCGGTGGAGCTCTAAGAGCACAAGAAGTCTGGGGCAGTTTCCTGGAGCTGTGCACTCCCTTTCCACCAAATCCAATTTGGGCCAGATGGAGTGGTCACAGCCCCCCACCCCTATGAGACGACCTCAGGGATGCTGTGCACTTGATGGCAAGGGGTGGGCACAGGAGGCAGGAAACACACTCAGCTCTGACACCAATGCTTGGCCACAGGTTCAAGGGCTCGGAGGCCTCCTGGGTGTGCCAGTCCAGAGCCGGTCCCTCTGGCCCAGGCTCCCACCTCTGACTGGGAAGGGGGGCAGTAACAGAGGTAGCAACTGTTGCTTTTTTGGCAAATATCTCAAAAAGTTAGGAATGTTCTCCGACATACAAATATCATATTGGCATATGGATAGTGAACGGGAATCATGAAGAACACTTAGCTTTGCCTTTAGATCTCTCGAGCCTGCTATTTTTGTTACCTTAGAAAAATTGCTATGTGCATTTTTCTAAAATATCAAGAAAGGTGAAAACAAAACAAAACCATTAAGTTCTGTGTCATCCCCAACACAGTCCTGATGACAGAAACCTTAGAGGGATGGGCAGCTTGTAGCAGCCTAGGGCCTGCAGCACAGAAGCAAGGGTCACTAGTAGCCACCCCCCAGCTGAATCCTGAATGGAGGGGAGAGGGGGGCATCCACCCTAAAGGAGCCCCACACTCCCCACACAGAATAACTGACACAGGCTAACAAGGACAGCCACTCCCTAACACCTGTTGCTCCCTGCCTGAGGGCCTTACTCTGTTGTCCAGAACACTCCTTCACGTCCCCTTTTATCTACTTTTCTTCCTTTCTTGAAACCCTCATTCAGGCCTGTTATGGCCTCTGCTTTCCCCAGACTCATCATGAGATGTCTCAAGATGATCAGACAGGGGACATTGGGCTCAGTTGTCTAAAATGCTCTTGGATATTGCATGATCTTTGCTCAATAGAATTGTGAGCCACTGAGCTCTGCTGAGTAAAACGTGGACCAGGAAAGGTCAAGGTCAAGTTCAAGGGCCAAAGTAGGTAGCCTCATCCCATTCCAGGAGCAATGTATTGTCTCAGCTGTGCATCTGGGTTCACAGAATCTCATCCCCACCACAGGAGGGGGTATGGCCAAGGACAGGCTGCGCCAGCTGGGGAGGCAGGGGGCCTGCCACCTTTAGACATGATAGACCGTCCCCAGTCCCCTCCATAGTGGTAAATCTGGTTAGGTCAGCCCACGAGGCCCCTGCATGAGGGCTATGTCTAATTCTGCACCCGGTTGCACATTCAGTGTATGCTTCGTTTTAATAATAGCAATGAAAATAAATAGAACCCAGGTCTCCTAACCCCTGTGCTGCATTCTTTTCACCAGATGGGCTCCTTCTGTCTTGCCTATAAAGACAGCCCTGAAAATCTTTTTCCTGAATGCATGTATTGCTCTGGCGAGGTGGCCACATTAGAACAGCTCCTTGACAATGTCGTGGCTCAGCCAATGGGAGCGTCCCCCAGGTGAATGCTGAACCTCCTGGACAGTTTTTGACTGGCCTTGGGGCATGATGAGAGGCTGGAAAATATCTTCAAGGCATCCAATGATGTGAGTCACCTGCTCAGGGGTGGCTGAAATGAATCCTGGGACAGTGTGACTCCGTACAGACACCTTCTAGATAGACCAGCCGGACACAGCATGGAACTGAGCAAGGCAGTGGAACAAAGGACCAGCCCTTGCAAGAGCCCTGAGGTTGGGGCTAGGTGGGCGTGAGAGGGAGGAAAGACTATGGAGCGCTGGGCAGTGAAGGACAAGTGGGTGTTTGCTGACTGGCCTGGGGTCACTGGGGTGGGGATGAGTGTCCAGACCCAAAGGTGGCATGTATACAACACATCTATGGATCCATGAGCTTGAGTCCTCGTGGGAGAGGGTTGACAGAAAAGGCTGAAGAAACAT